AGCGGAGTGAATTTGAAATGTCAAACTGGGTAACTGAGCCAAACTGTGAAGCATTTTGCAGCACGGGGTGTGTATGTGTGTGAGTGTTTAAGCACACTTATCCTCGGGTATGACTTCAACAGATAATTGGGACCAGATGCTTTTTTAATCAGGATTGGGGTGTGTTACAGGAATGAGGTATATCACCAGGTTTCAGTGATCATATGTAAAAGAAGAGCAGTTTTATTTTTTTTCTCCCAGCATGTTTTACATTCAGCTGAACAAGAACTCAACACCTGGTACCATCCAGTCACAATCTGAAATTTTGTATGTTGGTGGTTTAAGTAATGCCAATGATGTCACATATGCCAAAAGCTTTTTCTGGACATATTTTTGAAACATATTTTGTTGTAACACATCTCAGTTTATTGCTCATGCTCCTGGCTGAGATAGAGGTGTGACTGTGGGTGTGAATCTATGTCTAGATGTGGTGTATTTGTAGTATTTATAAAAAATAAAAAGCTAAAAATAAAAAATAAAAAAATGCATAATAAAGCAAAAAGTAACTCTTCTTCAAGGAATGTCTATCACCTTTCACCATGCATGTTAAAGTTTTAAAGAAACATTTTGTGCTAAGGGTCTGTAATACATTTTTGCAATTGCTAAAGTTGATTTGCTGTGGTTGCCATCTTGACATGGGACAGAGAAATAAATAAACACACAGACAATTACATAATTGCCCAAATTTCATTGTGTTGGGTGATAACAACCAAGTTTTCAAAGTTTGTTGTGTTTTTAAGGCCGGGTTACTGGTGCATTAGGACAATATGTCCACCATTACATACCTGTTTTTCCCAAGAAGACCCCAAAATKTTGTTTTAAGCAAGTACATATAGGATACATTTGTATCCCCACTGAATGTCTTTTTAACCTGATGCATGTGTGCAAATTTATTTTCTAAAGGTTTCATTTAAATTTACCCAGTGGTTTCGGAAATATTTTATTAACAAACACACAAACAACTAGAC